TCCTGGCATCCCATATGGGTCCCTGAACCCTCCAGGAAAGATCTCTGAGCACAGAGTCAGGATTAAACTCTGAGCACAGCAGGGTATAGCCCAAGCACCACACCCCACCAAAAACATAAATGGAAAGGGATAAGGGGGAAGGTGGCATCAGATGATGAACCTCTTTAGAGCAACTATCTAGTTCTGTAAGATTATTATCATTTCCTAATTTAATGTGAAAAAACATAACTGTGAATTAAAAGGAAAATATTTAAGCTATAACAGAGCCCTTTATAATTTGTTTTGTAGCTAACCCCTTTTAAAACTTCTCAGCTTAAACAAAAATCCAGCTGAATTTGCAGGTACTTACAAAGGTGGCGAGCTGAGAGGAAATAAGAAAGGACAGAGGGTAGAGACGTGTCATACTGCCTTATTTCCTGTAGCTTTTACGGGTTTGAATAACTTGTTTCCTTTCTAATTATCTGCCATAGTTATAAAAGGTAGAGAAATATACTGTGCGCAAAATGTGATTTATAATGGCACTATTATTCCATAATTGAAAACACTGTGTGCTTGGTTGTCTGGTAAAATATGCCCATCAGAAATAACCTGTAGCTCTGGAGGCCAGTGGGTTGCTATGACAACTAGACAAAAGAGTTTAATAATAGCTCTCCCTCAGAGCTGGAAAATTGGCAAAGATGAGAGTTCTAATGCAAGTGTTTCTCATATAAATGCAAACAAGCACGAATACATGTATTTCTTTTCTCAACAAATATTCACTGAATGCCAGTGCTGTGCCTGGCACTATGTTAGAAGCTACAGAAAGATAGATAGATGTGGTCCTTCCAGATAGAGGATACAGTCCGGTGCAGGAGACATGATGAAGAACAAACAAATCAATGTACTGAATGTAAGCTTTAAGCTTCAATTGAGTCAAAATAAAATAGAGAACAGTCTTGCAGCCTTTATTAATGTGGGAATAGGAAAACAACTACCAAGTGAAATATTACTCTTTTCTTGCTTGCAGAGGAGGGTTCTATATGAAAAAAAAAAAGGTTGCTTTCTCTTTTTAAATGAGTATACATTTTTATGACAACTAATGATAAAGGAGGTCTGAGGATTGTAGCCCAGTGGTACAGCACTTCCTTGCTATGTGTGAGGAGCTGAGTCTAATTGCTAAAAAGAAAGTTGCATGTGGAGTTCTGCCTAAAGATAACTCAGTGACAAAAAGTGCCTGTTTTGCAAGTGTTAGGCCATGAGTTTGCTCGCCTTTCCTTTTGTAAGCCTCAAGTTTGGTTTCATTGGCTCTACCTGTCTGGATCTCTGGCTCTGCAAGAGTATGTAATCTCCCTACACACAGCTTGATATGAACGAGCTGTAGACTAAAGTGTGCAACTCCTGGCAAGTACCATGGGCTCGTGAGTGAGTACCACACTGACTACCCCCACCCCACACCCAGCAAGTACATAAACCAGAATATGTGTATGCAATCCTCAGTGAGCACTGTAGTCAAATGTGTGAGCCATTGTGAGCACCACAACTAAGACTGCAAGTGCCACAAAGCAAACACGTGTATTAGCCCCAGTCATCACAACGACATAGGGAAGGGTCATTATAGCACATATTTGACAGAGACAACTATTCGAAATGCTCTCTGGCAGTTGTATTATAGTTCACATAAACACAAAAAAATAATAGTACATTTAATATTATCTGGTCATCTATATAGAAAGTCAGCAAGAAACTAAATTTAAACAGGCTTGTGACTAATGGTTTAGGCTTCAGCACTAAGAGAGAGTAATAGGTTACTTTCACAGAGCATCAGATGAGTCAGACAGAAAATGCTAGACTGTCTAGGATGCTGTAAGCAACATCCATTTTTCTTCATCATGCTGTGGTGATACCTCTTATTTTTAACAGAACAAATATTTGTTGTTTAAATTATTTAATATTGCCATTATTTTTACAGTCATTTTTTAATGTTCTTTCCTTTTAGGATGTTGGAATATTCCATGACAGAAGGCTGAGACCAGGGCTCATGAGTTAGGATATACTGGGAGACAATCTCTCAAACTCTATTTAATGAAACAAGAGGAAATGCCCTTATCTTTAATTTAGGGAAGCAGCACAATCCCGCTGAGACTAAGTCTTTCTGGGGGGAGGGGGCGGGAAGCCTAACCCAGGTTGTGTAGATTGTGGTAACTCTTGGGGCTATATTAAATTGTCATGTTGATGAAATCTGGCTTGACAGATGGTACAGCAGAGACTGCTCTTTAAGTTAATAGCCTTAATGTGATGGAGAACCTAGTCACAGCATATATATCAAAAATCTCGGTGAATAAACCAGCTCGGAACATGATGGTCAGAACTGTACCCTTAAGAAAAACATTTCGGCCATATCTTCTCTATAAAGCAAAGTCTTGAAGACACTGAGACTCTGGAACAGTCCTTGCCTGATGCTAGATTTTTAATGTACATCATTAAAAAAAATTTTTTTTAAATAATGAACTCAGTTGATATACCACTTAAGTTCTAGCTTTTATTTTTAGGGCACAAATATTCCTGTTTTGGAAGAAATGCTTTTCTTGACACAATGTCCTTCAAGACTGATTTTCCCAGAAAGAATGAATGACTGCCCCAGAATATTTCTTTTTTTTTTTCTTTTTTGACTTTTGGGTTACACCAGCAGAGATGGGGCTTACTCCCAGCCTTCATGTGTTAACTGGGCTTTTAGCATGCAAACCATGTACTCTAGGTCTTCAAGCCATCTCCATGTCCCATTTCTCCATCCCCAAGAATATTTCTTAATTGAGATATAGTGGTTATAGTCTCACCTCCAATGCTAAAATTGCTGTGCAAAACATTGACTCCAATAGTGATGACTTTCCACAGAGTAAGTGGGTCCTTAAAATTTTTGGTCAGGGGCACTAGAGGTGGTGGGGGTACTCCTGGACCTGTGCTACTTCTAGTGGTGCTCAAGAGATCCTGTGGTGTCAGGGAACAAACGTGGGACTCCCAAATGCAAAGCATGCACTCAAGCCATTGAACTCTCTGGCCTATGTTATTATTATTTTTGCTTTTTGGGTCAGATCTGGCGTTGCACAGGGGTTACTCTTGGCTCATGCACTCAGGAATTACTCCTGGCAGTGCTCATGGGACCATATGGGTTACTGGGAATTGAACCCAAGTTGGCCATCTGCAAGGCAAATGCCCTACCCACTGTGTTATGGCTCCAGCCCAGGGTTTTTTTTGTTTGTTTGTTTTGTTTTGCCTGTATTATTGTTGCATTTTTTGTTTGGACGGGCTGAATTATTCAAAGGTACATGGTGGTCACTCCCAGCAGTGTCAGGTATTGAACCCAAGCCTCCAATATGCAAAGCATGCACACTAGCTTTGAGCTATCTTCCCAGATTCTGGGAAAGTTGTTTTAGAAGAAAATGTCTCATACGTAAAAGTAATGTAATATAATAGTATCTGTTCTTAAACCAATACTCTTCCTCAGGGTTAAAGAAGTTAGGAAGGGAAGTTTGATAACATAGATTTTGGTATCAAATGGCTGAGTCACAGAGGGGGCTGGCCTCTCTTTTTTAAATCTGTTTCCATGAAGCCTGGAGCTTCTGTAAACAGCTGTTTCTTTCTTTTTTTAAGCATAGGGGATTGCATATTATGAAAACACTTGTTGGTTCTAAAATTAACATGAAGGAAGCCCAGAGAAAATTGGCTGAACAGTAAACACCTGCCTTGTATGTATGAAGCCAGCTAAATGCCTGTCACTGCCCTGCTTTGGCAACTGTGACCCACCACGCTGCCTATGCAGCACACTCCAGCCAAGTGGTGAGTACATCACCATCAAGTCTGTGGCCACCAGACATAGGGAAGAAAGGAAAAAATAAAATATTAAAGTAGCATTCTCTTTGGCTTCAAGTAAGTTTTGTAAATACATTTTCCTTCTAACATTTCCCCCTACCGTAGCATATTTGCTATAATGAATTTTCTTCCCTTGAAGTTAGGATGACACTAACTTTAAGGGAAAGTTAGTAAGGGAGTTTAGCAAAGTTCAGCAAAAGAGATGCAGCTTTTGAGCAGGCATATGAACGACTGTCACAAGTCCAATTACCTTGGATCGTGAGCTTCGAAAGTATCGTTAACAGTCTTAAAATAATAAACTATGAACAGGGCCAGGGAAATAGCTCAGAGTTAGTGCTTACCAAGCAAGAGACCTGTTCGTTCCCCAGCAACTATAAGGTACCCAACCCCCAAACACTGCCAGGAGTAACCAGAGCTTGCCAGGAGTTACCCGAGCACTAGCATGTTTGGTCCAAAACCCACAAAACAATTAAAAATAAATATATATGTATGTAACTTATAAATACTTGCCTTTGTCTTTAGAATAGATGAAAAGCTCTCCATGTTGTCAATGAGATCAGGTACAAAAAAAATTGATAGTTTATAATTTTAAGACTGTTATGCTTCTGAAGCTCATGATCCAAGTTGTTAAACGAAAAATGAAAATAACTTGATTTCCATTTTAATATGTATTTACATAAATTGATAAATTAATTTGCGGGGGTGGTTGGGCCACACTTGATGCTCGGGGCTTACTCCTGCCTCTGAGCTCAGGGACCACTCCTGGCAAGCTCAGGGGATCATGTCGGGTACAGGGGATCAAACTTGGGTCATGTGCAAGCCGAGAGCCTTGCCCACCCTATCTCTCTAGTCCCCTACTTTATCCTTTCTGAAACCCTAAAGTCACCCATCATTTGATCTTAAAAGAACTTGCAAATCTGGGCTCTTTTCAGTTAATCAGACTACAGGAACAGATAAAAAATTTCAAATGAAAGAGATTCTAAAGCTTGAAAATAGTAGTTCTGCAAACATATTCAACATTTACTGAAAGATGTGATTAACTGAAAAACTGAGACAGTACTTTCTTAATAAAGAAGAATTTTAGTAATACCAATTTTTGTCTTTTGGTGTGCAAACAGGAGTCTTATACATTTAGTGGAACAATGAATTAAAAGTCAGGATTCTAGTACCAGTTTTATTTATAACTAATCACATACAAACCACTTAGCTATAAAATAATGATTAACATCTATTCCATAATTCACAAACATGTCACAAAACCAAAATTCTTCCCAGAAAACCTCTTTGTAAACAAAGATATTACTACTATTTAGCTTAGGCTTTACCTCAAAGGCAGAAAATGACAAATTGAAGAATTTGTCCTTTTACAAACTGGCAGCATACCTTAATTCTGCAGACTGAATCAGATTTATCCTGTTTCAATCTGACAAAAACAAACTATCAACAAGAAGTTACTGGTGAAGAGAAGTTGGCCAAAAAAATAACACTACTGAAAAACGGCATTGTGTTAAGCTTATACAACTCTGCTGTCAAATGGAACAATATTTAGCCTTAAGACAACTAGAGCATGTTTGCCTTTTTGAAGGAACTGCTAGGACAAGCATCTAGTTCACAAAAAAAATGTTAAGTAGGAATGCTTTGTAGAATATCCAAATGGCCAAATTAGCTAAGACTTTCTTTACGTTTATCTCCACTTCTTCATTTTTATTTCTCTGTATATATCAAAAACTTAGATCTCTATCCAGAAGCACATTCCTCTATACTGTTTAAGTGTATGAAATGTCACTTTTCTATCACAGAGAATAAACAGAATAATTAGCACGTTATGGAATGAAGATTCTGGGAGATTATTCTAACTGAATATGGAAAATTATATACTATATGCATCTGGTGGTTTATCGTGTATATGTTAAGGACAAACATATTTAGTAAGTCCACATGAGGTAAGCACTTAAGATGTTTTTGTATTTAACAATGTCAGTTTTGTGATTTAGTCTCTAGTTCTGGACTTTCCCTTGAGAGAAGCAAGACTGGAACATGATTCACAGAGAAACATAGAACAAATACAAATACTGTAACAAAATAGTAGTGTTTACGCTGCTTGGGGAATCTGAGACAAAACAAATATATTTTCAGGACTGGCCTCAAATGCTACCATTCACTGTGTAAGTTAACTGTATACTTTTAATACAAAAATACCTTTAAGCTGATAATAACATTTAGTAACTTACAAAACTTACAGAATATGTCAAGGACACACAAAACAGTTCGATACACAATGAAGTTTTAAAGTTCTCTGCTGGCACTTGATTTTATAATTGATAGACACAATAACTACTGATCTCAACAAAATACTGTTCTTAGTTTATACATATTTTCAAAATCAATATTACCTCACAAAACATTAATAATAATCACACAGTTGACAAAATCTCTAAGATGAACACCAAAACTGTACAGTCAAAATATTTTAAGAGTCACATAAATTTTTTTTTAACACAATGGATAAAAATTTACATAATCATCTCCAGTGAAAAAGGATTTTTTCCTCTGATTCAATGAAGCCTGTGTCAAGTATGGATTTTTTGTTAAATATGAACCTACAAAGCAAGTTAAATTTTTAAGGTTTTCAGACAACTGACAATACCACTAGAATGAACTCTTTTAGATGGAAATTTGGTCACTTGTGGCAAATACCCATTTTACACTACAAAATTAAACTTCTTTCCAAACAATAGAATCCTCTTTTTTTTTGTTTTTACCTTCAGTGAGTTTAGTCATTCTTTATATAACTGCAAATGATATCACTATTCAGTCACATTAAATGTATAGGCATCATTCTTCACATAAGAGGACACTAAACTAAAACTTAGCAAACTACTGAAACTGTAACATATAAATTAGTGTAAATACTAAAGTTTTGAAAATCTATTACACTATTCTGAAAGAAAAGATATATTCTCTCAAAACCCTATTTAGTAATTCCTATCCAATAAATTTTCTATTATAAAAACTAAAATTCAAATTACAGCACTTGTGGCACTAAACAGAATATTAAATTCAATAATAAAAGTTTAAGAGCATAATGAAACAGATATAATAAAACAATACTGGGCTTGTAGAACAGTAAATTATTAATTTTAGTGTTTTAAAATTCTGTAACATTAAACGACAATTAGTAATTCAAACATACCCTTTCTAAACTGAAACTGAAAGAATCAACTTATTTTCTCCAGAAAATAGAAAGGGTAACTCTCTTAAGATACATTCCATAGCAGAAAATCACATTAGGTTTCAAACTAGCTGTAAAAAACTCCACTTTTCCTGTGCATTTCACTGAGGTGCTACTTGTACCCACAAATCATCATCAGATAAAGAACTTGAGCTTCCTGACTCGGAATCCAGCTCACTGAATCCACCTAAGTCCCATTCAGTACTAGACTCACTGGGCACTTCTTCTTCCTCAGTGAGAAAACTATGACCAGATTCTAGGCAGGAAGGATAAACACGAGCTGAAAGGCAAAAAAAATTGGAATCAAACTGAAAGAGACCTAATGTGGTCCCGATATTAATCCACTGATCTGACCCAATGTCATATTCATATACAGTCACACGATTTTTCTTCCACTGTGGAGTACGTGAGGTGATCAACAGCAATTTTTGGCCATGATTGATGATCCGGTAGTTGTTGGTCTCCGATACCAGGGGAATGTTATTCATCTGTCTCCATTCTCCCCTGACTGGATTGTAGACCTTCATAACAGGGATGTCACAGATACAGTAGATCTCATCATTGAAGACACAGGCTTCCTGAAAGTCGTTCCGCTTCAGAGACACACACTTCAGCCATATATTATGGCTAGGATCATAGCAGAACATGCGCTTACTGTTCAGAGCATAGAGATAGTTCTGAATTACCATTAGGTCAAAGGATATGAAAGAGTGGGGTAAGGGTGCCACCAGCGCCCACTGGTTCCTCTGGACACTGTAGCATTCCACTTCCTTCAGTTTAACTCCAGTAATAGGGTCTCGCCCACCCAAGATGTAAATATAGCCATTGAGGTAGGCCACATCCATGCCCTCCCGGCAGAGCAGGCGGTCAGCCAGCTGGTGCCAACTGTTCTGGGCTGGCTTATACACCCACAGGTCTTTCCTGGGCTGGGCAGCAAGGTAGATGTCATGGTCCGGAGATACACAGACGGCTAAGGTCGTCACAGACCTCGTATGAGCAAGGCAGGTCACAGGCGATGGCACTTTGTACATGTCCCCAGTGTACGGGTCACAGCACAGAAACGGATCCCTGGGATGTCCAAAGAAGATCACCATCTTCTTGGCACACACCCCCAGTCTCTCGGGTGGGTTCTCCACGGCAGATACCAGGGAGCTGCTGCTGCTGGTCTCAGGCTTGGGCACCACAGCCTTGAACAGCATGTCCCCATACCGCATCTGCAGGGCCCCTTCAATGAGGTCGAGGCAGTACTTCTTCACAATGGTGTTGGTCAACAGTCCTTCCAGGTAATCCTGGTCCTGGTCGGTGAAGTGAGTCCAGCGGACGCACTTGAAGACCTCGGCAGCGCTGGGCCCACGCTCCTTGGGGGCAGCCTCTAACCACTGCACCGCCACGTGGCACACGGTTTGCTCATTGTCAATATTGAGGCTGTCCAGGCGCAGGACGGTGAGCATCTGGGACAGGGTCAGGTCGGCCAGGCTCTCCTCCCGGATGGAGCCCATCTGGCTGAGCTGCTTGAAGTTGTGGGCGATAAAGGCCTGGGCCTGCGAGCGCAGCTTGCGATGACCGAAGGCGTCGGCGAACTTGAGGATGGCCGTGCAGTTGCTCAGGTCCAGGCGGCGGGCCAGGAAAGAGGCGCAGGCTTCGCGCACGTACTCGAGCTGCAGCATGTCGGAGGCGGCGTACAGGCGCTCCACGTTGGCCTCGCTCAGTGACACCCGGCCCGTGTAGCAGTAGTCCACCAGCACCTCGAAAGACTCGGCGTCCACGTCGTGCATGGTGATGCTCGTCTGCTGGCTCTCGTACATGCCGCCCGTGAACATGCTCTTGAAGTAGGGGCAGGCGGCGGCCAGCACGTTGCGGTTGCAAGGGAAGAGGCGGCCGGTGCCCGGCCCGCTGCCCGGTGTCACCACCTCGATGGTCACATCGCAGAGCAGCCGCGCATCGTAGAAGGACTTGAGCTGGGCCAGCAAGGCGGCCGAGTGCGCCGAGTCCTTCAGTTCCTCGGGGCCCGTGAAAAAAGCCGCCACCGTGGGCTTGTGGACTCGCTTGGGTCGCTTGCCGCCGCGGGGGCTGGCGAGGCGGCGCGAGCGCGGAGCCTCTTCCCGGGACTGCATGGCGGCGATGGCGGCCGGTGGGGGGGCGGCGAACGCCAACGGGTGCAAGGAGCGGGCTCCGGCGCCTCGTCAGCCTCCTCTCGCGGGCACCGAGCGCGCAGTGTCTCGGGAGAGACCGCAGCACGTGTCCATTTAACTTAATGCGACCCGACTCGACGCGGCCGCCTCCCACAAGCGCGCCAGTCAGGGTCTGACTCACCCTTCCCAGTTTCTGCGCCCGTCTCTCCACCTGAGCTCGCCCTCACAGGAAACCGCGCTCCGCAGCCAAGAAAAGACGCGACCGCCGCGTTGGCAGGACCTGTAAGTGCCTGGGCGGACTACGGGTCCCAAGTCGCCTTTCGGGCCCCGAGGCATGCCGGGCCCTAGGACTTCTAGGCAGCGGAGGGCGGGCAGCGCGCGCGGTGCATCTCGGGAGTGGTAGTTCCGCGGCTGTCGCGAGATTTGCCGGCCTTCATTGTCTCGCGGAGGGAACGCGAAATCGGTAATTCGCTTCGGTGCGGTTTTTTGGTTTGGTTTGGTTTTGAATTGTTTGACTGTATCAGATTCTGGGTTTCGCCTCCCGGATGAGGTTCTCTGCTGCTCGTTCGGGGACTCGTTTCTGAGAAGAGGTAGTCCTGTTTTTAAAACGTGGATCCTCCTCCGTTGCAGTTGCCGCGAACGCGACGATTCGCGTCGCGTGATGGCGTAGACCATGTCAGCCACCCGGAGTACATCTTTGCCGAATGCTGGAGGAAACGCGCAAGTCCTTTCGGGCCACCCGAAAACCCAAGTTTTAATCAGTTTCCGCGTTTTGTGTCGTGCGGGGTCTTTTTTGTTTTTTGGGTTTTTTTCCCAAACATTGAGGCGACGTTAAGTACCACCTGCGAGTTTGAGATCCCAAGTCGGTAGGAAACGTTTGAAAAGCCCCATGTTGCCGCAGAGATCCCGTTAAGCTTTTTCTTCTTCTGATTCATACATTTTGCCTTTTCGATCGATTTCCGCTTCGCAGGAAAAAGTACGACTCCACGTTTCACCCTTGCAGGCCATCTCCTCACACTTTTCGGTTCCGTCTCTACATTTGCGTATGCGTTTGTATCAGGTAATGAATTTAGGTGTGTGTTACTAATTTTTTTTTTTTTTTTTTTTTTTTTTGGTTTTTGGGTCACACCCGGCGATGCTCAGGGGTTACTCCTGGCTCATGCACTCAGGAATTGCTCCTGGCGGTGCTCGGGGGACCATATGGGGTGCTGGGAATCGAACCTGTGTCGGTCATGTTGGCTGCGTGCAAGGCAAACGCCCTACCCGCTATGCTATCGGTCCAGCCCCGTGTGTGTTACTAATTAAACCACGTAATCTTGCATATGGTTCTCTATTTTTACACTGTACAATTCCATGGTTTTGAAACACGTAAAGGGTCATATGTCCACCATTTACAACGATAAACGAATTTTCACTACCAAAAAAATCCGTGTGCTGCAGTTTTATGTCTCCCCCCACCCCCGTTCCACCTCCCTACCCAAACTATCCTCCACCGCGCATGGGAACTATGGATCTGATTACTACGTAGTTTTAAGACTCTCAGAATATCAAATAGTTGGGATATACAGCATTTTAAATATCAGCTCTTAATTTGCCCCCCTGTGGATGAATCTAGAAGGTATTCTTCCAGTGAATTCAGTCAGTAAAGGGACAGATAACAGAATGACACGTATCTGATTACAAGGAACCACAGCAAGGGAGCAACAAAAGGTCAAAGGGAATTAAATCTGAGAACTGGAATACAAAACTGAGCTTACCTGGAGGCAAAGGAAGGGGGTGATTTCTGGGACATTGATTTTATCTGGCCCTTTGGTAGTGGGTGTGGTGTTGGAAGATTGTGCATGAAACTGTCATTAAGAGGGTTGCAAATGGGGTGGCTCAATTAAAATGGGAGAATGGAAAGAAGTTAACTGCTCTTATTTATATACATCTCAGGTTCCTCCATTTCTTTTCACTTGCTAACTGTTTCATCTTAAACAGTTCTGCATACTATAAACATTCCTTACCCATTGTAAGTTACTTTGGTGGGGCTGGAGCATAGGGCATTTACCTTGCAAGCAGCAGACCAGGGTTCGATTTCCAGCATCCCATATGGTCTCCCGAGCACCACCAGGAGTAATTTTTGAGTGCATGATGCATGAGCCAGGAGAAGCCCCTGTGCATCACCGGGTGTGACACAAAAATAAAAAGAAGCTGCTTTAAATTTTTGGAGCTGTAAATAAAGATGCTACAGATACTTGTGCGTTGCTCTTAGCATGTTCTAAGTTCTTTTTGAGGTGGGATGTCAGTCCCTCAAGAGGTACTTAGGAAGGTGGGGGGATGGAGTAGGGTGCGTGTGTGTGTTTATTCAATGATTTCTAATTAATGAGGCCAGTGGTTCAATGCTAGGGGGTGAACTAGGGAGATCCCCTAGTCAGGGTGGACCACATACTTGGTCACAGTCACGGTCACAGTCCTCCCGTTATTCATCGATTTGCTTGAGCAGGCCCAGTAACATCTCCATCGTGAGACTTGTTACTGTGTTTGGCATATTGAATACTTCACTGGTAGCTTGCCAGGCTTTGCTGTGCGGGTGAGATACTCTCCGTAGCTTGCTGGGCTCTCCGAGAGGGGCGGAGGAATCGAACTCGGGTTGGCCATATTGGCCACTTGCAAGGCAAACACCTTACCTGCTGTGCTGTTGCTCCAGCCCGCATACTTGGTGTATACTTTAAATTTCTTGGCACCAGATCTAAGTTTATTTTTTTCTTTTTCAAAGACGTAAGTTGGTAATACACATTGATACATACGGAGTGATTGCTGGACGGTATGGCCAGACTATGTTAATTAAGCTTTGTAAGAAATTGCTAAAATGATTGGTTCAAGTACAGTAGCTGTGCTGTTTCCTGTTACCACCAACACGGTCCTCCCATTGCTCATCGGTTTTGCTCGAGCGGGCCCGGTAACATTGTGAGACTTGTTACTGTGTTTGGCATATCGAATACATCACAGGTAGCTTGCCAGGCTCTGCCGTGCGGGCGAGATACTCTCGGTAGCTTGCTGGGCTCTCCGAGAGGGGCGGAGGAATCGAACTCGGGTTGGCCATGTTGGCTGCATGTAAGGCAAGCGCCCTACCCGCTGTGCTATCGCTTCAGCCCATTCCACCAACAATTAAGAGTATTTTTAATTTTCCATAGCCTCCCTATCAATTTTGTTGTCAGTGTTTTGATTTTTTTTTTTTTTTTTGCTTTTTGGGTTACACCCAGCAATGCACAGGGGTTACTCCTCTACTCCTGGATCATGCACTCAGGAATTACTCCTGGCAGTGCTTGGTGCTTGGGGGACCATATGGGATGCTGGGAATCGAACCCGGGTGGACTGCGTGCAAGACAAACGCCCTACCTGCTGTGCTATTGCTATCTGTCCAGCGCCCCCAGTGTTTTGAATTTTAGATCTAAGAATTCAAACTTTCCTCTGGACAGAATAATATTTTAGATATTCACCACTTCTCTAGGTTCATAATATTTTAGACATTCACCACTCTAGGTTCATCAAACCCAGGTCAGCCACATACAAGGACAGCGCCTTACCATCTCTACCTTCACTCTGGTCCCCAATACCAGATTCTTAATGCTTATCATCATACACGACCAATACATCACACATGCACATATCTTCTCAAATATACAAATCAGGATTGTAAGTAGTTGTTTTGTGATCTTACAATATCAAAATTTTATATTCAAAAAGAGGTGCTAAAATTAAAATATTTCCAGTAACCTGTTGGCTGCATGCAAGGCAAACGCCCAGCATGGCAAATCTGAGTTCGATTCCTCCGCCCCTCTCGGAGAGCCCAGCAAGCTACCGAGAGTATCTCGCCCGCATGGCAAAGCCTGGCAAGCTCCCCGTGACATATTCGATATGCCAAAAACAGTAACAAGTCTCACAATTTATTGTAAGATGTTACTGGTGCCCGCTTGAGCAAATCAATGAACAACAGGAGGACAGTGCTACAGTGCTACTTCCAGTAACCTAAATGTAGTGTTACCTAGTTCAGTACAGCTCTTTCAACTACTCTCTTCAAATCAACAAGATTTTGGAATTTATAATTATTAACTACAAATTTTATTCACTCTTTTTTTGGGGGAGGGGGGCAATGCTCAGTGGCTATGCCCAACGCGTGGTCCAAGAGACAGTACAGTGAAGAAGTGCTTGCCTGGCACAGTCCTGACCCCCGTTTCATTTCAGAACCCTACCAGGAGAGATCATGAGCACAGAGACAGAAATAAACCCAGAGCACCTCTTGGTGTGGCCCCAAAACAACATCGTGCTTGGGGATTGCTCCTGGGAGTGCTCTGAATCATGAAGTGCCAAGGACTGAACTTGAGTCCACAAACAAAACAGGTACTTCATTCCTGTGAACTATGTCACTGGTCCCCATTAACTATTGGGTGCACATTGAGCCACACCTGGCAATACTGAGACTGCTCCTGGCTTTTTGCTTGAGTGCCACATCTGGTGATGTTTGGGAGATAATATGTGGATCAAATTGGTGTCTATCACATGCATGGCTAGTGCCTTAACTCATGATCTCTCTGGCCCCAACTGTGAATTTTAAATAAAAATAGTTCACCATCTTACTATACCAGATACTTTTTTTTCCTTCAGTTTTTGGGCCACACCCAGAAGTGCTTAGGGGTTACTCCTGACTCTGTTTTCAGGAATCACTATTGGGAGGATCAAGGGACTATATGGGATGGCAGGGATCGAACCTGGGTCAGCCACGTACAAGACTAGTGCCTTAACCTCTATATCATCACTCTGAACCCCCAATATCATATTCTTTATTGTTGTTGATGTTTTGTTTTTTTGCTTTTTGGGTCACACCTGGCGATGCACAGGGGTTAACTCCTGGCTCTGCGCTCAGAAATTACCCCTGGTGGTGCTCAGGGGACCATATGGGATGCTGGGAATTGAACCCGGGTTGGCTGCGTGCAAGGCAAAAGTCCTACCCTCTGTGCTATTGCTCCAGCCCCACCAATATCATATTCTTAATGTTTATCATCAAACATGACTAAATATTCTTTCACTTAGTCTAGTCCCTAACTTCAAATTGTTAGTATGGAGTTGTAACTTAATGTGCGGGAAGCAAAAAAAAAAAAATCCTAAAAAATTTCTTTAGGGAGCCAGAGTACATCAGGTA